AGTCTTTTCCATGGGTCTTTGTGTCTGTTTTTATGGCAGTATTGTGGTTCTTTATCATTTCTGCATTCCTACCTTTTCTTTATGCATGCTTAAGTGCTATTTTATTACATGAGGGTACTAAAGATTTATAGGGATATATCATTAGTTTTATAAAGGAAGTCAAAGTGAAAAATGAATTCAATATAACACATTTCACTTTAAGAATGCATGCCTTTCAGAGTAAAGTTTTATTAAGGATTTCAAACTAGGCATTAACCAAATCACAGTTGAAATATCTGTGTCTAGAGAAATAACAATCACTTTATCAGCCCCTATAATTCTTAGCGTCCTGACACTGAGGAGTTCCTTAAAGACCAAGCAATATACTCCAACACATCTAAAGGCTCTGTGTTTTACCTAAACCTTACAAACTGTGGAAACTATCAGCTTTTTAGAGATTAGCACTTGCCTTGTTAAATGGTAGTAACCCCTAAGCTCTTGTCTTCACTAATAAAGATTAATAGAAATAGATAGAAGCTAAGTATGCCCCTTTGAAACACCTCTTTTATTTTCTGTTGAGTGGGTAGGAATAAACAGAATATATTTGACAATTAGCAATGTTAAAAGACAAACTTTAGACAAATTCGGTTTTGCAGAGTTTATTTGAGCAAAAAACAATTCATGAATCAGACAGTACTCAGAATTAGAAGTTCAGAAAGCTCCACCCAGCAAGGTGGGCAGGCAGTATTTATAGATAGAAAAAGGAAGTGACATACAGAAACAGCTTGACTAGTTACAGCTTAGAATTTGGCTTACTTGGGAATAGTGTAAATAGGCATTTGCCTTATATGGACATGAGCTGATCAGTTTACAGCCTGTGATTAGCTGAATCTTGACTGCTGGGATTGGCTGAGACTCAGCTATTTGTTACAAGAATGTACTCTTAAGTTGCGTATTGCTTACATGCCAAGCTGGGTTGCAGTTTGCTATGTACAGAGGCAGCTTTAGGCCCAATTTAATTTAATTTAACAGCAACAAGCCTTTTTGCTCAGAGATCTAAAACATTTGGTTAAAACCACTAAGGTTTAAGGATTTTCTCATCTCACAAAGGTTTGTAATTTCCATTTCCCATATCTAAATAGGACAGCTCAAGTTATGTTTTTCAGCAGCTGTTTTATACCTTTGCAATCTTGATTTCTACATATGCAAAACAAGAAGGTTGAACTATAATCTCTCAGGTTCCTTCCAGCCCCAACAGCCTATATATGATATAACCAGAAAAAAAAGTCATTACAAATACAAAGAAACATTTTCAGGAGGAGATATTCCACATGCAAACATAGGTTAATCATTTCGAAATATCTGGTATATACACTCGTGAAAATAAAAATAGGGCATGAGGCATTTGTTTTAATAAATCTATTGGGAAATGTGACTTGATAACATTTCACGGGCTTAACATGGTCAAAGAAAATGTTTTGAGCTCATAATGTTCCTTACATTTAGATCTTCAAAATCAAGTCACTGATAGATGCCACCTTTGCCCTGTGGAGACCAAGAAGTAATGTTTGGGGCATATCAGAAATGCTTTAATAAATTCTTTATCAAAGAATGGTTCTGGAGCTTACCTGTGAAATTGTGAAGGTCCTTGTTAAGAGCAGAGATTCTTGATAGAATTATAGAAAGTCTGGAGGTGGCACCTAGCAATCTCGATTTTAAACAAGCTACTCAAATGTTTCCTATGCACGCTAGAGATTGAGACCCAGAGCTTTAGATTGAACACATTTGTGTATGCTGTTTTAATTCATTCTCTGGCTGCCTTTCACCTCTTCCATGCTTACTCAGTGTTCTCTGTGCTTTATAAGTTTTTTGCTTCAGCTTTTGTCCTCCCAGCACATTTTTCCTTTCACTCTTGAGCTTTAGGAGAGGGAAAAAATGAAGCAATCTGATATGTAGTTAAGATGATCAAACATTCTGAAATTTTATCTAACTCCACACCTTAGAAAAAAATTAAAGAATGGCCCCTTATCCAGATATGTGAGAGCTTTTCACCTTTTAAGGTTCTAGGTCCGTCTTCTGCTGCTATATTAGCTCTCTTGACTGTCCTCTGTCCCTGGCTTCCAACAACCCCTATTTCACGCTATTAAGTTTTCTCTTAGTTCCTTTAGAACTGAATTCCTGGCTGGGTGCGGTGGCTTATGCCTCTAATCCCAACATTTTGGGAGGCTGAGGCAGGTGGATCACCTGAGGTCAAGAGTTCGAGACCAGCCTGGCCAACATGGCGAAACCCATCTCTACTAAAAATACCAAAAAATAGTTGGGTGTGGTGGTGGGTGCCTGTAATCCCAGCCACTTGGGAGGCGGATGCAGGAGAGAATTGCTTGAACCTGGGAGGTGGAGGTTGCAGTGAACCAAGATCGTGCCATTGCACTCCAGCCTGGGTGACAGATCAAGACTCTGTCTCAAAGAAAAAAAAAAAAGAAAGAGACAGAGAACTGAATTCCTAAGGTCTCAGTTATTTTGCTCTCGCTTAGGGGACGCAAAGGGGTTCATTGACCCACTAATAATTAGTCAGCACTATTTAACCTAGAACTGGAATTTTAGCACTTCCTTACGTAAACAAAGCCGCAGCTTGAGGTCTCAACATAGGCAGCCTGCCCTTCACTATATCCTCCTCTAGACCTCTCTGCCACAACGATTTTTTGTTTCCTCTACCAGGCATACAGAGACCAAACATTAAGCATCGTTATATTCTCTCTTCCCTTCCTCTCTCCCTGCTCCCCAATGCATCCTAGAGACTTAGAGGCAGTCAATAAATATTTGTTTAATCAGTGTCTTTTCTACCTTTTGCTGCTTTTCCATGTCTGAGCCCTACCTCTCTCCACCTACCTTTCAAAATGTCCTGCTTGACAGCCTCTTTCACTCTCAAAGGGACCACACTGAATTCCAGACGCCCCAAGGAATTCATTTAACCATTATACATTACATGCCTTTAAACAGCTAAAATCTTGCATAGGGAATTGTCGCTTAGGCTTATCATGGAAAAGTGATAACTGAAAGGATGGTACAGAAACATAAAAGAACTGACCTCTAATTGCATGCAATCTGCATGCACTATTAGATTCAATTCACGACATTTATGGTATTTCACGATTCACTTCTTAGGAAATAATACCTCAGAGTCTTGAACAATTTATCTTATTTGATGGAAATGCCTTCATTTTTTCTGAACATATTGTTTATATTGCAATTATAGAAAGCAAATCTTGACAATTTGGAAAAGTATAAAGATTAAGAAATAAATCACCTGTAAATCTACCTCTGAGGGATAACCTGGTTGTCATTACAAAATTTTTTCATAGACAAGCATGTACATACAAATACATACACATACACAAATATTTTAGAAAAATTCAAAAAATGTATTTGTTTTGTAACCTTTCTCACTTAGTAACTGACATGATGACTTTTCCATATCCATAAATATTTGACTATGTCATCATATTGAACCTTGCATAGGATTTTACTGTATGAATGCACCATTATATATATAATAATTCCCTTTTAAATTAAGAGCTACTTAATTAAATTCATGTATAAGTTTCATTAATTTCTAAATTTAAAGCATATACAAGTTTCATTGCATTTGAAAACAATCAGTAGGTAGCGGTTTTGCATTTCTCAAGCAATTCCCTCATATTGAATATTTAAGTTGTTTCTGTTTTATCAATCTTAAATGATGCTATATATAACATTTTTCCACCTATATCTTTGTATCTTTTTCCAATTTCTTTGTTAGTATAAATTCCTTGAATTTAAGCCTGTGGGTCATTGTATTTGCACATTTTAAAGACTTTTATGTATTGTCAAATTATCCTTCAGAAAGTTTGGAACAATTTAATTTCAGTAGATAAGTATTCTTTAGTGATTCTGTTTGACTAAGGCCAAAAGGAGAATTGTATTTGAAATGTCAAGCTAAGTTACCAAATGGCTAAGGGAAATGTTGCTCTACCTGGTTGCTTTGCTTTATATTTCAATCTTTGCAGCATTAATGACTTTATTATATTTATGTTATAGGTAGCATTATTATGAATTAATTAGTAATTGCTGATAATAGCTGAGTGATTCAGCATAATTTCTAATTTACCTGAAGATAGAGCTTTGCTAAGATGCTGCGTTTCCTCTTTGTTTTCTGGATGATGATTTATTTTATTAATTTAGCTTCTCATCTTCAAGTAAAATGTGGATTTTATAGCATAGATCATTCATTTGTGTATTCTTAAATGGCTTCAAAGGATTAACATGTTCTAAATACAGTTGACGGTAAAGCACTCAGTCTCCTGCCTAAATTATTCATGTTCGGGGGAAGCTTTCAGATAAATGTCTGATTTTACTCTTCCATGTGAGTTGTTGTCTTAGTATTTTTTACACAAAGGAAACAAAGCAGAAAATGTTGAAACTTGGTGAAGACAAATCCCAGGTGCACACAAATAAAGAAAGGTAGGGGAAAAGGAGAAGCATTTGGGAAGAGGAGCAGAAAGGAACAGACGCCAGATGGAAGAACTCAATGGAAAAGGCTGCCTAGGGTGTAGAAATGGAAAAGTCAAAATGTGGGGAGAGACCTTTCCATTTCTCAAGGCAGAAAGAATTCCAGTACTAGCATGAGTCACATGAAAACGAAGTGTTTTTTATTAGTCACTGCATCCAGTTTTTTCTACCAGAAATATTAAGAATCACTGACTATAACACTATGGAAAAGCAATCGATTCCAGTGCATATTCCATGCCAAAAGTCTCAGCATTCTGCATGTGGAAATAAACATATGGCTAAACACTGCCTTTTCTCAAAATTGCCATCAAACTATCCCCTGTTTTATGGCTCTCAAAAGTAAGTAGCCAGATTTTTATTCAAGACTGCTTTGTAGTTCACAATAGGTTTACTGTATTTTTTTAATGGAATTGCTAGAATCATCGATTATACTTCTAGATATTCTGACATAGTATGCTGCTGTTCTTTTTCAGGTCCCATTTGGAAGCCAGTTCTGACCAGTGGAAGCGTCTGCACCTTTCTCTACAGGAACTTCTGGTGTGGCTACAGCTGAAAGATGATGAATTAAGCCGGCAGACACCTATTGGAGGCGACTTTCCAGCGGTTCAGAAGCAGAACGATGTACATAGGGTAGGACATTTTTAAGCCTAGTGCTTTGCACATGTTAAGCACATAGTAATCCAGTGACTAATTTAAAATTAATTTTGTTTGAAATTAAGTTGAATAGAAATCTTTTTTACTCTTCTCACCCAAGGGTCAATTACAAATAATTCAAGCCATTATATTTTAAATGTCAAACACATCTGTGTTAATAATACCGTTTAAGAAATCGTCCATCTCTTTTGACTATATAAAAAAAAACTTTTCATTATGAAAAATATTGAACATATGCAAAAGTAGACAGAATGCTATAATAAAACTCATGTACCCATCAAGACATCAACAATTATCAAATCACATCAGATCTTATTTATTCTATAGCTCTTCCCAGATTATTTTAAAACAAATATCAGGCATGTGTTATTTTATTTGTTAATATTTCAAAAGGTTAAAAGATAGGATTCACTCTTTTAAGATAATCACCTTGCTACTATAATGCTTTTGAAATATCAATAATTTCATCATATCAAATATCCAGTCCATATTCAAATTTCCATTTCTCTCATACATATTATGTTGTTTAAACTTTTTCTGGTTTGGATTTAAATAAAAATTGAAATCAGACCCACACCTTACTTTGGTTAATTGGTCTTTTTATTACTTTTTATTTGGGAGTAATGACAGATTCACTGAAAGTTTCTAAAATAGTATAGTTTCCCTGTACCTTTCACCCTGTTTCTTCTCATCGTTGTATGTCATGCAACTGCAGTATAATTCTTATTGTCATTTCAACATGCAATCAATATAAAAAATGTACATTTACAGCACGTCTCAATTCAGGCTTATTACATTCGAAGTACTCAGTAGCCAGATGTTGCCAGTAGCTACCAATTAAACAGTGCAGTTCTATAGTTTGATCGTATTTGGGTTTGGTTTTTTTTTTTTGGCAAGACTGCTTCACAGGCGTTCGTGTATTCTTCCATCATCAGGAGTTGGTACATAATGCCTTGTTTTCTCTTTTTGTGTGATGTTTAATAGCTGTTCATGATCTGTGGCTAGGGGTTGCAGTGTGATAATTGCCTATCTCTACCATTCCTTCTTCATTTATTCACTGGGGTAGGTCTATGAAAAAAAAATGTTTTGCACTTGTCTCCTGTTTTGGTACTCAGTATACCTTTCATAATGAACAAGCAAAATACATGTTTCAATTTTACCAATTTTTATAATAACAAGTTGTTCACTAGCATCCTCCAACGATGACCAATAATTTCTTTTTGTTTTGTTTTGTTTTGTTTTGTTTTTACTTACATTTCTATCTTCTCTACTAAGCTCTGAGTGAAAAAGGCAGAGATTTTGTCTTGTTCACCTCTAAGACCCTAGAGCCTAGCAAATTGTCTGGTGTAGAATGGATACTGATAAGTGTTTTGGAAATGGGAATAAAAGGTACAAGAACAGAAATGAATAGCAAACCAAACAAATTACCACCAAATAATAAAAACTTGAAAAAATGGTGCCACTTTTGTATGTCGAGCATGTAAAGGAAAGATCTCTGTGGAGATAAAGCCAAAGGTGGCATCTTGAGGAAAGATCAAGGGTTTATATTATTCTGGAGAAGATGATGTAGGAAATTATAAAAGTGGAAGAGAACATGAAAGAAGACCCAGGGATCTTTGCAAAAAATGCCAGGGAAACTGCCAGTTTCTCCTTTAGCCATTTGCCTTCATATATTTCTGAATATTAAATTAGTTTTTGTGGGAGGGTGAAATGTAATGGTGCTATGTGTTTTAAATGTTCTGACTTTGAATGAACAGCCAAAACACTCTGGTGTACATATAGAAAAGCACTCACTGAGAAGGATGGGCCTTTAAAAAAAAAAAAATGCCTTATGCGATATAGTGAAATGAGACAGAATTTCTACAAAAGATAAATTTTATGCTAGTTCCAGAAACCAAAGAAAATGAATCATTGGACAGGTGCACTAGGAGTCAGGAGACTGAGATTCTAGTCATATTTCTTCATAAGATGGATTTTGATTGCTATTTTGTTCTTCAACTGTAATATGAGGAAATCGGTCCAAATAATTGCTGTGGTTTCTTCCAGCTGGTATTTTGTTATAAATACTGCTTCACTATTCCTAGTTATTAGTTTTGGTTACTTGTTAAGAGTGGTAAAATGTTTGTACTTACTCAGTTCTTACTCAGGAATCTCATGACAAATAACATGACTTGGGGAGATGGTGATGCTGGAGTTATGAGTGATACTGACCAGAATGAAGTTAATCCATCCCCACTTGGTTAGTGTGCTTGCTCAGATAGCTCCCTGTTACCTTTCTTGAATTTCACAAGACTTCCAGGCCATTGATTACTCTGTGTTTTATACATTAGTTCCTCTGACCTTCCATACTTACCTCCTTCCAAGTACAACTTAGAATCAATAATCTAAATTTTAATAACTTGTTTTCAAAACTCCAGAAACTTTGCTTCTTTATTTTTTTGTTGCTGCAATCTACAAAACTCCAAAACTCTAGCTAAATATTCCAAGACTCTAAATAAATATCTAAATATTTTCTCATACCAGACAACTGTGTGGTGGACTGATACAGTACCTTTTCCAGATGACCAGCCTTCAGCCTTCCACTACCAAGACATTGCTGGGTCAATTTTTTTTTTTTTTTTGCGGTGGGGGAATGGAGTCTTGCTCTGTCACCAGGCTGGAGTGCAATGGCATGATCTCAGCTCGCTGCAACCTCCGCCTCCTGGGTTCAAGCGATTCTCCTGCCTCAGCCTCCCGAGTAGCTGGGACTACAGGCACGCGCCACCATGCCCAGATAATTTTTGTATTTTTAGTAGAGACAGGGTTTCACCATGTTGGCCAGATGGTCTCGATCTCTTGACCTCGTGATCTGCCTGCCTTGGCCTCCCAAAGTGCTGGGATTACAGGCGTAAGCCACCGCGCCCAGCCAATTTACCTTCAAAATTGTTCTTGACTGTCTACTATTGTCATCATCATAGTTATAAGAGACCATTTCTCCTAACCGTTCTGAATCTACTCTTGCCACCCTACAATGCAATTTCTACATTTCAGTCAGAACAATCTGTGTAAAAAACATAAATCCAATTATATCAGTCCTTATCTTAACACTGTAATAGTTTTCTCAGTGCTCTTTGAAAAAGACCAAAATCCTCAACAAGGGTGACAAGGCACTATCTGGCTTGTCTGGCCTCAACCTCCTCTTTTCTAGATGCTCTTCCCTTGCTGTTTGGACACCAGTCATACTGCCTCTTTTTGCTTTTTCCAGTTCTGCATGTCCCTCTTATATGGGGCTTTAAACATGCTGGTCCTCTGTCTCAAACCCTTTTACCTACACCCACCCACTCGTAATATCCTGGTTGTCATCTAATAATCCTTTACATCTTGGCTTGGACATTGTGCAAGCTTTTCCCTGTTGCCTGCATTTGACCAGATCTCCCTTTACACACTCTCCTAAAATTGTCTACTTTTCTATAACATAGCGTTCTTTGTCATCACATACATGTGTTACTATTTGATAAATGTCAACCACTCTTGCTAAACCATGCTCTTCGAGAAGATTTTTGGGAGGGGGAAAGCTGTCATTTTTCTACCCAGCACATTCCAAAATGCCTAGTATATAGTAGACATTGATCAGATAAAGGAAGGCTACTGAGACCAAGAGCAGGGAAAGAAAGAAATAGAGTGGTATTCCCTTCTTATTTACAGGATTTTTCTGTTTATTTCTAATTAAGCATCTTTTTGTAAAGTGTATAGAGCTACTTTGATGCACACTGGTTTTTTTTTTTTTTTTTTTTATGCTTTAAGTTCTGGGATACATGTGCAGAAAGTGCAGTTTTGTTACATAGGTATAC